TCCTAAACCTCAGGGCAAAGAAAGCCCTTTGCATGACACTACTCTGTGTTTTCAAGCAATTTGTGATTTTTGAACAGTGCTGTGAACAAATAAAGTTAAGGCTATTTGAAGGTACTAATGTGATCTGGTAAATTTACTCTCTGTCAAAATTCCTTTTAATACTGACAACCAATTTAACAATGAAGCCATTTCACTGCCATCTCTTTCATTTGTCACAGTCTGCTCTCTTGTGAACAGGAGAAACCCAAAGATACAAGGCATGTTCAAAATATACACTAAATGCTTACAAGTTGTTATAGTAAGAGACACATTGCCATTAACCTCCCTCCCTCAAAATAGCCTACCTCTCTTCAAACACGTATCCCATCATTCTTGACACTTCCTAAAGCAGTTCTAGAAGTTCTCTTTTGTGAGTGTCTTTACAAGATGTGATAAAAAATTTGGTGAATGCTGCTGCTAAGTTCTAAGCATCATAAAATCCGGCTCATAAAAACATCAGAGTGTATCCTCATCCACCTCATTCTCCAGATCTGGCACTGTGACTTCTGGCTCTTCCTTGAAGTCAAAATGACCCTGGAAAGTCAACATATTGAATTGATTCAGGGCTTCAAGGCAGCCAGGACAGCGTCACTGAAGACATGAAAGAGAACTTCCAAAACTGTTTCAGAAAGTGAGAGGAACAATGGGATAAATATGTTCAAAGTGAGAAAGAGTATTTTGAGTGGGATTAATGGCAATGTGTCTTTTACTGTACTATTTTTTAAAATTTAAACATTCATTGTATGTTTCATTCATCTAATAAACATATGATCTGCCCTGTGTTCTCAGTTCAGGATCAAGAGTTCCCAGTGTCTGCTTTCTGGGGATGACATTGTTACTCAGGCTCCTAGACACTTGATTCACTACTGTCCTCAGGCCCTCTGCTTTGCTGTACAAGTGCATAGGTGTATGTATGTGTGGGGGCAATGTAAGTGGTCTAACTTCCTATTGAGGCCTTTAGAACAATTACTTTCCTTGGGGCTGGGGATTTAGCTCAGTGGCACAGCGCCTGCCTGGCAAGCGCAAGGTTGTGAGTTTGATTCCCAGAAAAATTACTTTCCTTATAAACATTTTTCAAAGAAAGTATTTGATGTCAAATATTAAATTCTTCAACTCTTCTCTCTTCTAAGGCAAGAACGCCAATTAAAATCATAAAAATGATTTAAGAAGTGTTACCTAAAGTTAGTAAGTTGTTGACGCTAAGAAGTTATGATTTTTAAAAAATACCTTAAATAAGAAGTTGTATACCTGTAATCTCAGGACTTTGGGAGGCTGAGACAGGCAGATTGCAAGTTCAAGCCTAGCCAAGGTAGCTTGGTAATTTAGTGAGACCCTGTCACAAAATTAGAAAACAGAAAATAAACAGGATGGAGATGTAGCTCAGTTGAAGGCCCTGGCTTCAATCCCCACTACTACTATTGGGTAGGTGGGGGGAGAGGAGTTATAAAGAGAACTTTAAAAGCTCCACACTGTAATGTTGAGCACAATCAGTATGGATCTGGATTTGGTGCTGTCTTTAGAGGCCTCTGCAAAACTATTTTTTGTTGTTGCTTTGGAGTTGCTGGGATGGAACCCAGGGCCCCTTTGTGCTCAGTATGTGAGGCAAAAACTTTTCCATAGCCCTCAGTATGGTTTTAAATTTTTTGTATCTAGAAAATTGGAAGCCCTGTGAATAGGTAGATGGATTCTTGGGTGTCTACACATTTTCTGTAGATTACTGGCATGAAAAATGCAATGATTTTCCACTTAGATTCTCCATAGGGATAGTGGATGTAGGTATCCGGTGCTGGTGAAACTTCTGTGTCTGTGATGAGTACATTTATATTTGTCTTCTACACAATGTTAAGGAGAACATTATAATTACAATTTGTATTGAAATTATATACGAGGCACTTAATGTACTGATTACTTTCTTATCTCCAAATAAAAAGATCTGTACTCCAATAGTTTTCATCTGATTTAAAGTTGAATGTGTTTGGCAAATGGTTTTGCTCACCTACTGTGTGCTTTTGCAGCATGAAGTCCCTTCATAGATGTCACCTCACTGAGTCACCTCCTCAGCCCACCTTACACATAAAAAGTTGGAAAAATACAGGGGCTATAATGGACCCCAGATATGTGATTTTGCTGGGTATGACCCAAGACTTGAACTTTAATCCAATGCTTTTGTGAAAGTGCTATACTTTCACAGGATAGAGGAGCCCTGGATTGGAAGAATTTCATGTAGATCTAATAAAACAATTCCCTTAAAAGTAGCTTCTGTTTTCCTTTGGGCACATTATATAAACCACCAGGAAAAAAGAACTTGTTCCCAACTGGAACAACCAACCTATTTGTTGTGGAAACGAATATTCTAATGTTTTAATACTGTCTGCACTGGCTGGCAATAGGAGGAAATGCACTAGAAATAACACTTTCTTTTTTTGTTGAATATGAAAGTTGCTATGAAAAAAGGAGTTGCCATATTTTTTTGTATACTGCAAGCTGTGTGGTAGAAGGAACCAGCACTTATTTTTGTGTCTGAGTTTTTATTCTTCTCAAGATATAAACAGTGCCATAAAGAAAAGATAGAACATCATTTTTTGAAATATGAAGAACTGGCGTATTAAACGGAATATTCATAGTATGGTTCTGTTATCTTTCTTTTGGTCTGAAATTCAAGATGAATTTGAGAGCTGCATAGGGTAGGGTTAAGCATATGTGATCTGCAGCTGGATTCCAGGTAAAGTTCCAGTTCATGTACGAGCTATGTGACCCAGAGGAAGGATATTTTAGTTTTCATCTTAAATTACATTTATTTATATTTAATGCCTGAGCACTAATTAGCTTAAATATCCTTCACAACATTTAAAATAAAATAGTATCTCTAAGGCAAGCTTCTGCCAAGGTAGAAATTCTGTTTTGTCAATGGCTTAATGTCATCATAGCCAGAGACTGTTTATAGTCAGAGAAAGGTTACTCTAATTTCTTATACACTGGGAGATTTGTGTTTAGTTTAAATGCAGTTACTTCCTGTCATTGAATATATTTGAAAACATGAATTTCAAGTTGCTTTCTCTGTAAACAATAGTGTAGTGGTTGGCACTGACAACAGAATAATTCTAGAAGACCTTTGTATCTCTAGGCCCTTGTCCTTAATAAACATTCTTTGATTTAATAAATCACCATGTGATTTGATTTATTTAGAAATATTTGCATGGCTTATCAAAGAAATGGTCTACTTTTAAAGAGGGCAGAACAATGATTCTGTGTTTTAGGATACATAGATGTATTCTTAGAAAAGAAAATGAGGTAGTTGAAAACTAACTGAGAGTTGGAATAAATCTCTAGTTCTGGCTTTGGAGTTTTACTGATTGAATCTTGTCATTTTAAAACAGTGTGTTATAAATAGAAAAAAATGAAAAAGGGGTTTCCATGTCCTGAGGACAGCACTCATATTCTCATTTAGTGAGATGATTTTAGGTGCAAGGGATTGTTTTCTGCAGCAATGTTTGCATATTTACTAGATATAGAGACACATCTATATAGATTGTATCACGCAGATCCAGTCTCTACTCTCACTTCTGGTAACAGTTCCTGACTTTCTTAGGGGAAAGTTGCTGCCCATCATTGGATTCAGTTTCTGTGGGACTGTCAGTCACCATGAGTAGATGGCAAGGTGGGAGGCAGAGGTGGTGCTCTCTTTCTGAAATTGCAACCAAGCAACATAAAGCTTTGAGTTCATCTGGCCCTGTGGCTGAATCATGCTTCTTGGGACATCTGTCCCTAGGAGGCTGACCCAGCTCGCCCTTCTCAACACCTGCTTCTTCTGCTGATCTTTCCATTCCAGAAGTTCCTCTTATCCTTCCAGTATGCTTTTTATTTATAAATTCCACTTAGCTGGAGTCAGCTTTTGCTGACTATATGTAAATAATTCTGTTTCACCTTGGGTGTCATGGATGTTATTTGCTTTAGAAAAATCAGTGTTTTAAAATAAAACATGAGTGGTTCTGAAGAAAAGACATAAATAAATAATTGTACATGTGATATACAGATATAGCAAAATTTGTGAGTACTATTGGCAAAAGGATAGTAACTGGGACACATCATCACAAAAGCGCCATTACCAGCGAGCTGCCTGGGTACATTTCGTCTTTAAAACTGGAGTATCTTGATAAACCATTAAAAAGAGTATACAGCATTGGGCTGATTCTGTTAATAAAAAAAGTAAGGCTATGGAAAAGATATATGCTCATTAATATATTAATAGTTGTAAAGGTCAAAAGCAAATACATTTTGAAAAAGGAACGGTATTTCTTGCTTTATCATCAGCACTTTTCAACTAAAATCACTTATTGCCTGTGTCAGAGAATCTTTTTTCTTTCTCCAAGAATAATATTTTATTTATTTCTGACATTATTTCCCCCAATTAATAAAATACTGAAAGCATAAGTCTCTAACAATGAAACAAAAAATCAGCAATGCAAATGTGTGTGTGTGTGTGTGTGTGTGTGCACACGCTTGTATGTGTGTGTACCAGAGGTGTGTCTCTGAGAGCAGCTATTTTTTGTTGGGGGTAGTAATGATTTCAAACACAGTATTATAAAATTCCACAGCTTCCTTGATCTAGGGCTCAAAACCAAATCAAAAATTGTGACTCCCTTATTCTACTCTCATCTTGACGTTTTCTCCGCTCTGATTTGAGAAGGAAACATTTAGAGACCGAACACTTCTGTCCACCCACAGCTCCTTTTTTATCTGATGCTTTTTATTTTTATTTCAGAAATAAAATTTTTAACTGTGGGATGAAGGTTGGGCTAAGGAAAGATTTTGACACCTGAAAATGTCTTCAAGTGAAGTGAACGCACTCAGGGAGAGTGATGAGAGACAGCTTGGCTACAATTCCCGAAAATAATCTATTCTAGGGAAAGGAAACTTCAGGTAGAAGAGATTTCACCAGGAAACAACACCAAGCAATTGACTATGTTTCCAATATATGACCTTTATTGAGCAAATACTGTTGTGACATTTAACATCTATCAACATAAGTTTGCAAACTGTGCATGTCAGCGAGGTTCTCCCATGAACGAAAGTCCATTTTAGATGCACCAGTGAGGTAAACATAATTATTCATATATAGCTTTCTTAAGGCTAAGAGAGTTCTGTGTTTCACTTATTATTTTTGGCTCAGTTGGTACTTTGCATAATACATCTCGAGATATCCCCCCCAAGTGCCCCCCTTCCAACAGCTTAGGAAATTGGCAAATTCCCCAGATACATACAATATCATGCATTTGAATCCCCCAAAGACTGAGGAGGAGGCACCCTGAGCTCGCATGCAGTTCCCTCGTATTGCACAAAGTAAAATACAATGTCCAGAGCCCCCATGGGAGAACCCGTTCTGTGTTGAAGCTGTCAATCACATGCATTTTGAAATTGTCATATGGCTTAACCTTTTTGCAATGGATTCCATTCCTAGTCACTCTGAGTGACTTCCTTTACTATAGCGTGTGAAGTGACTTTTTCTACCTTTTTAGTTGACACTAGTTTCTCCTCAAAGGTCTCTTCATGCTCTTCGACCTTTTGAGTGACAGTTACAGATTTAGTGATGTATTTGGTAGCACCATCGCCTCCCTCACTGGTGATCTTTTCTACTGTTTTGGTCACCACCACTTTTTCATTGCTTCGGTCAGCCCCCTTCCTCTCATCTGCCGGGCTCAAGTCTAACCCATTGGTGACCACACCTTTCTCCTCTTCTCTCCCACTGCCAGTTTCCTTAGTTTCCTGCTCCTCCTCCTCTTTTCCTTCTACCTCCCCATTCACAGCTATGTCTTCCTTCCTGGATTCCTTGGCGCCTTGGCCATTCCCTTCCCCCTCACTCCCTCCTTCCTCTTCTGGCTTCTCCTTCTCTTTCTCTTTCTCCTTCCCCTTCTCCTTCTCCTTCTCTTTCTCCTTCTCCTGCTGCTGAGACTTCTCCTCTTCTTTGGCTTCCTTCTCCACGCTCACCTTTACTGGTTTGGTGACCACATCCTCCACAGCTTTCTCCTTCACTGGGGATTCAGCTTTCTTCTTCTCTGGCACCTCTTTTGGCTTCTCCTCTTTCTTCTCCACCTTCTCTTCCTTGGGAGCTTCCTTGGCCACTTCTTTCTTTTCTTCCTCCACTTTCTCTTCTTCCTCTTTCTGCTCACCTTTCACTGCTACAGCTTCTGCTTTTGGCTTCACCTCTTCCACAGGCGACTTTGGTGCAGGGGACTTGGCCTTCTCCGGCTTTGCTACCTTGGCTTCTGCTACCAGCTCCTCCTTGGAAGTCACCTCTTCGCTCTTCTCCTCGACTTTCTTTTCCTCTTTAGTTTCTGCTTCTTCTCCTTCCCCTTCCACCTCTGTTTCTCCTTCCTCTTCCTGCTCACCTTCATCCTTTTCACTCGAGCCTTCCTTCTCAGATCCGCCCTCTTCAGCTTGGTCGGACTTAACACCCTCATCTTCCTCCTCTTCCTCCTCCTTTTCCTCTTCTTCCTCTCCTTTAATTTCAGGCGCAGCAGCTTTCACTGGGGACTTTTTGGCAGCTACCGCTTCTTCTTCAGCCTCTTGCTTCTCTTCCTTTTCTTCTGCCTCCTCTTCCTTCTCTTCTTGTTTTGTGGAAACTGCCAACTCCTCTGCAATGGCTGTCAGGGCATCTTCCATTTCCGACTTCTCATCCTCCACTTTGGTTTCTTCTATGATTTCTTCAACAAACTTGTGTTGCACCTTGAGCTTGGGGGCCTCCACCTTAGTCTTCTGAATCTTACTGGATATGGTGACTGAGGGCTGTCGGTGTGTATAGATTGGCCCAGTGATGCTTCCTGAAAACGTGCTAAACCTGGTTTCTTCACCCTCCAGGAGTTTCCTAGGAGGAAATCAAAGAAGACAAGACAGAATTAAAATCCCATTGAGCCTCTGGGCCTCATCACACTCTGGAAGAATGTAGTAGCTACTTGTGAATAAATAGAATCACCTAAGGAAAAGATTCTACCAAGCCAGTGTAGTGCCTACTGTCATCTCATTGATGTGTTGTCATATTCAGGGACGGAGACAGACTCTCCTTGACTTCTGCAGTAACCACTCCCAGTAGTCAACCAACCACACCCAGCCATGAAGTGTTACTCTGCAGCTGGGATGCATTTGGTGCAGTAGGAATTTGCTGAAAATCTCGCTAGTGGCCAAAACACCTCCAAAGCAAACAAAACAAAACAAAACAGAACAGAAAAACAACCCCCTCAAATTAAAACCAAAAACTCTTCAGGCGTCTTCTTGAGCATTTGGGCTGTCAGGAAATGCAGTATTTCAAAAGCAGATATAACGTTCAGAAAATTTTAACAGAAGTATGAAGTATGCTTTTATAACTTGGGCTGTATCAAGTTATAGGTAGGTGCTGATAATTTATGTGTCATTATAAATTGGTCTGCAATTTCAATCATGAAGTGTCTACTCAATGTGTAGCTTCCCTGAAAAAGGAGAATGCAATGTAGTTTTGTTATGATTAACCATTGGTAGAAGAAACCTGCTTAATTCAGGATTTTGTACTTCGAATTCAGTCACCAGCAAAGTGGCATCAGGAAACGTGGTCAGTTTCTCCATCTTGAAGAGACTGTACCTACGTGTGTCTGTATATTTAGTTGTGTATGTTTCTATGCATAATGTTACTATGGCTGTAGCTGCATAGTAAGTAGCACACATGGCGTATATTTACACATATAATCTACCCTATAGTATAAAATAATACATCTGCATTACCCACATGTGTAAAATACATATGTGTATATTCTAAGCATTTATTCTTTGCCACATGATGGCAATAGTAAGCTGTAGCAGAGAAACAGGGTGTTCTGGTGCTTGTCCTTGACATAATCTTGCTGAAACCAGCAGGGGAAATATTAAAAATTACAACTTCATGTGTGCTTCGAGCGTTCAAAAATATGTTTCACTAAAGTAAAAAGTGAAAGCATGAACTATGACCTCAATCGGTGTCCCCCCACCCCAAGTATCTACAACTTTATTTCAACTCGTATTCGTTCTTTAGAATCTGTTATAAAAGTGATCAAAACACATTCGCAATTCTTGAGAGTATTTTCTTCGTGAGTTTAGGAAAACAGGCGCTGATCTCAGGCCCTCGCAGCCTGCCCACTTTTGCTCAGGGGCCGGGTCACCGCCTGAGCTGCTTCCGCAGTGCGGTGAGCCTTTTGAGCCACGACGCCCTCTGCAGTACCTGTACGCAGCGATCTCGATATCCAGGGCCATCTTGACGTTGAGGAGATCCTGGTACTCTCGCAAATGACGAGCCATCTCCCACTTGGTTCCCCGAAGCTCATTTTCCAACTGCTGGATGGTGTCCTAAGACAGACAGAGAATCTCGGTAGACTCGTCCTCGTAGTAGTAACTTCCTTCGCAAACCCCGCGTTAGTTAACCTCTGACCCGCCCGTCCTTCGCCCCCATCCCGGCGCTGCAAACCTTGCAGACCTCGCTCCTAACCCCCTCTACTTTCCCCTTTAAAGCTAAGGGAATCGCAGACAAAATCAGTAAGTCATTTCTCAGGCACAACACGCACTGAGGCCAGTGGACTAAGAAGGCGTCTCAGAGGGAAAGATGTGCACGGGAAACCCCTCGGCGGGCCAGGTCCTCCCTCTCCCTGGGGCTGACGCCAGGTCCGAGATCCCGTGAGTCCCTGCTGGTAAAGTGGAGGGTGCCTGTGTCGTCTGTACACAAGCTATCCTAAAGTTGTTTGTTTATCAGCTATCCTTCTTTAAGCGCGCAAGGGCAAGAAACTAGAACGACCGAGGAAAAGAAGCGCACTTCTGCAAAAGGTCAGGACTCGTGGGCAGCTGGGGTAGGTGGACCGGGCAAAGGCGGGGAGGAGAAGTGCCGGGAGGACACCTTGCTACCGCTAAGTTGGGTCTGCGCTGCCCGTGCGCCTTGGCGAGCGGCCACCAGGGAGCGCGGCAGAGAGGAAGCTCGGGCGCGCGCAGGAGCGTCGGGGGCGCGCGGCGCTGGCGCTGGCGCAGGCTGGCCGCGCAGCCGCGGTTCCTACCTGGTAGCTGCTGAGGTCGTGGTTGTGGCGCTCCTCGATGTCGCTGAGCTGCCGCTCCAGGGACTCCTTGGTGCCGCGCACCGACTCGAGCTCGATGCTCTTGGACTGCAGCTGGCGCCGGTACTCGGCGATCTCTTCCTTGGCCGAGCGGATGGCCTCCTTGTTCTGCTCGGCCGCCTCGGTGAGCTTGGCGTAGCGGCATTTGAACCACTCTTCGGCCTGGTGCATGTTCTGGTCGGAGTGACACTCGAGCTGCGAGCGGATCTCCTTCAGCGCCGTTGAGATGTCTGTCTTCAGGTAGTCTTTGCGCTCCACCGTGATGTGCGACGCCTGGATCTGGGCCAGCAGGTCCGCCACCTCCTCTTCGTGATTGCTCCTCAGGAAGGCCACCTCATCCTGCAGCGACTGCACCTTCTTGTCCAGCTCCACCTTGACCAGCGACGACTCTTCGATGTCTTTGCGCAGCGCGCGGATGGCCGCCTCGGTGTCGTCGCGCAGCCGGGCCTCCTCCTCGAAGCGCTCCTTGAGCCGGTGGATGTCTTCCTCCAGGTGGTCGGAGTCTAGCTGCACCTGAGCCTTCTCGTGGTTCACCATCTCGAGCGTGGCGCGCAGCTCGCGGATCTCCTGGTCGTACGCGTCTCCCAGCTGGGCGTGCGAGGCCTGCTTCTGCCGCAGCGCCTGGATCTCCGCCTCGATCTCCTTGTTCTGCTGCTCCAGAAAGTGCACTTTCTCGATGTAGCCGGCGAAGCGGTCGTTCAGCCCCTGCAGCTGCTCCTTCTCGTTGGAGCGGGACAGCTTGTAGTCGCCGCCGGAGCCGCCGTTGAGCAGGGACGAGGACTGGCTGAAGTCGAGGCTGCTCTCGGCGGAGCTGAGCATGGCCGAGCTGTAGGTGAGGCGCGGGGCGAGCGCGCTGCGCTTGTAGGAGGAGGACACGGTACTGGGCGAGCCGCGGGACCACGACTGCGAGCGGAAGCCGCTGGACGGGGAGCCGCCGACCCGGCTGAAGCTGGAGCGGGTCTCGGTTATCCGCCGGTAGGCGGACGGGTTGCCCAGCGGGTCCAGCGTGTAGCTCATCTTGGAGGCCTTGGAGTGTGTGGCTGTCACAGCGATCCGCCGGCCTCGCCACAGCCCATTTATAGCCGCGGAGCTGGTCGCGGGCCAGGGCCCCGCCCCGTGGAGGCGGCGGCCGAGGAGGCGGGGACTGCGGGCCCGGCCCGGGCCGGGGAAGGGGGAGGCGGCTCGGCGGTGATTCAGCTCCCACTCCACGTGGGCCGGCGCCGCAGCGCACCCCGCACTTAACCGCCCCGTCCCAGCCCCTCCCCCAGCTTCCCTTTTAGCCCCGGACCCCTCGGCCCCCGCGATTCCCCTCTCCATCTTTCACCTTCAGATGTAGCTTGCGTCCTGGGGGCGAATACCCACCCACTGCCCTCTCTTTGTTAGTCGCTCTCCCTTGCTTTGCGCAGCTCTTTCTCGGGCCCTCGGGTCCCCTTCTTCTTTCAGATCTCCACTTCATAGCCTCACAGCTTTCTCTGCTTTCCCAGTCCCCGTTACTTTCTTGCTTTATCCATCTTTTGTGCGTTCTCACTTCCCCGTCTTTGGGACCCATCTTCTTCCTCCTGCTTCCAGCGCTCTTTAGTTCCACTCACCCCGACCTTCTGCTGAGCCCCTTTCTCCGGTACCTTTGCCTCCCTGTCTTTTCTTTCTCCCCTTCTTCGCGTCCCCTCCCCCACTTCATCTTCCTTTGCCTCTCTTCCCTTCCCCCATCCCTTGTTTTAAAGCAGCCAGAGATGAGCGCAGAGGAGTTGTGTCTTGAAGAAGAAAAGACTTTGAGGAACGCGTCGCCTGAACGCTTCAGGAAGGGGACAAAGAGGACAGGCCGGGGACAGTTACTTATATTAAAAGTGGGATATGGTGCAACATTCTGCTTAACGTTTGGGGGACGTCTGCACTTCCACAGGGGCAGAAGGTAAGGCGCTGGTGCTCGCATGGCGTCGGCAGCACCAAGGACAGCGCCCAGCCCAGCAGGAGGAGACTGCGGTCTGGGTGGGCTTCTTTGCCAGCCGCGCCCGTCAGGTTGGCAGCGGCAGGGGGTTCCCTGCCCCCTCTCTCCCCAAGTAAGGACAGTTAAAGCCTGTTTGTAGTGACTTTTTTGCAGGAACCAAGCTGGAATCCCACGCTAAGACTTCTCTGCAATGCAGAGTTGGCACAATAAGCAGATTGCAGATTTTGAAAAGAGATAAAATTCATCAAAGTCAGTTAACAGAAATATATACTTGAAGCGCAGCTTGAATTTTCCAATATGTGGTCAATGCGAGGAATCAGGATACACAAAACCTGGGATCTGAAGGTCAAATATTCCTTGAAAAGAAAAATTGAAATCTGCGGAGAGGAAATATCCAAGGATATAGTTTATGATAAGTTTGAAAACAAATCACTATTATCTGTTGGGTTAGTACTTTTAATGTGTAAGTGCAATGAATAAAATGACACTTGAATTAATTTTATTTATTAATTTTTTTTTTGGTTTTGGTTTTTCTCCGGTACCAGGAACCGAACCTCACGACCTTGCGCTTGCGAGGCAGGCGCTTTGCCGCTGAGCTAAATCCCCAGCCCCTTGAATTAATTTTAAATTAATTTAAAAGTTGCCAAACAGACTCATCACAACCTTGAATACAGCAAGATATTTTTGTCCCCCTTTCTACATTTTAGTAACTGATTTGAGATACATGTACCTTGTCTTTAAGCATGTTAATTTATAGAAGGACTTTGCACAAACTTCTTGCTGTCTGGTGCATAATTAATTGTAAAATGTCCTTTCATTTTGGATGGTGCTTTGGGGGTAATTCAGGGTTAAAAAGGTTCAGAATACTGCAAGACAAAATGAAGGATTGATGCAGGACTAATGACAATGTTGGGGCCACATGTACCAGTGATTGAGTGTCAAGTGCTTGCTGTAGGTGAGAAGGAGCCACTGTTTGTAAAAAATAGAGACTTCAGACTCAACTAGGCTCTTTTCACAGCAAGCTTTCTCTAGACCTTTAAATGACAGAGTCGTATTAATCAGTACGTTAATCAGAAAAGGGTTGGATTTCTAGGGGACTTTATTTAAATTTTTTTCTGAGCTCCCTTGGCCCATCTGTGCTAAAACCATAAAATAGAAATAATGTTTTAAGGACAAGGGAATTTATGGGATGACTTTTGTTTCATTAATGCAAGACTGCAGCGTTGCAGACTGTGAGGGGACTCCGGCTGCTCTAGTTTGCTGGGCCACAGTTAGCTCTCAGGCAAGTAGAACCTGTGTCTCAAGTTGCTACGAGAGACAGGTGACAATTGGGAGACTGAGTTGTGAAGACTATACAAATTAGACTTCCTGGTTTCATATGGATAAATAAAGGAAAAAAGAAATTAGACTTTGCTGCTTCTATAAAGTACCAGATCTCAGGTTTAGCCTCAGTAAGATGCTATCCAGATAGTGCTATGTGTTAATTATGAAGTGATTTTGCCTTAGTTTTCTATCACTTCCTGTTTCTATTAAAATGTAGGAAAATCCTTGGCAGTGTCTTTTGCACATTTCTGTAAGGAGAGCACATGGTTAACAGGCAGGCTTCAGCTGTTAGTTTTCTTTAGGGCTTTGGCGATGAGATGACTCTGCAGAGAGACATTTACAAGGAAACACATGTCTAATTTCACAATTAGCCTGTTTTGCCTTGTATCTAAACTAGCTCAAAAATTGTTAAGCTTCCAACTGGTTACAGAGGGAGGAAAGAGTTGTGTACAAATAAAATCACAGCCAATTACTTAGGCTAAATCTAGTGCCTATAGCTTAAATTTTAGCATCAGTGTCATCCAAAGTATTGCTTATTCTGGGCCGTCCAGGGTAATTCATAGAATTATAACAGACACTTTATTAAGGGAAAAAAAACCCCACATTTCTATGGTTTAAAAAATGATGGATCCAGGTCCTCATTTAGCGAAGGGCTTCCTTTTCTATTAGATTCTCACTTTGACACTTCTGAAGGTGATTTGAAGGTTATACCCATCGGTGAATTTAGTATGAAAACTTTTTAAAAAAACTATAGCAGAATTCTTCCCTCTTTTGTCTCATAGTTTTGAAAAAACATTTACCTCCTTAACACTGTTTACAGAAAGAAATGTTTTTGCACTTTTTAAAAACTGTCATGGCACTAAGGCCATGGAATCTTCTTAAAATATTAACGGGAGAGAATAAGCATGAAAATGTATCTGAGTTTATGACACTGCATTGATGGAAGTGAGGTTACTACAATACTTCTGTAATCTATTCTAAATAGGGAAGCTACACGTAAGATTTAGATGTAAGAGTTTTAATGAAATTGTCTCTAGATTGTTGTTTCATAAGCTATCGTCTGTTTGAATCACTTTATAGAGAAGTGCAGAGCATGCTCCATTCTATAAGATCCTTGGGTAGGGAAAGAGCAAGTGTTAAATTCTGAGTTAAGAGATAGCCGCTGTGAGGTTTTTCCTAGGGTCTATGTATGGTAATGGGAAAATATTTTTTGCATAAGAAATTTATTTATTGGATCAAAAAATAAAGATAAAAACAAGGCATTTTTTTCTCTTATTTCCTTATATTTCTTCTTTCAATTTTAGTATATGTGCTGCCAAAGTGAGCACAATACATTTCTTCTTTTAAAGAAAAAAAATATATATATATATATATATATACTGCAAGGAGGATTGTATGTGAGAACCCGGCAGCAAGCAAGAGGCCCAGAAAGAAAGCAACCACTGTCAAATCTGTAGGCTGCTTCGGACCAAGACATGATGATCTCTACTTTTGCCCAGTGTGTTGTGATGTCTCGAACCTAATACTTTTGCCTGGGATGGGACCCTAAAACTCTTGATGAAGACTTATTTATAAATTGACCTTTGTTATGTATTCAAGGTGTTATTGAGGTAGGAGACTAGGATCTCAGGTCACTGCAATGGAAACATAAAGGAAAAGAAAACTACGGCACTTTTTTCTAGTTGAGCCTTGGGGTGTCAAACTTTAGAAGCAGATGTGCCTTTTTTTTGTTTGTTCTTGTTTCAGATGCTGAAAGCAACATAAAAATATACTCAAGAGAAAAAGGCTGTTTCTCATTGGGAACATTTGGGATACAAATATATGTCCCTCTTGTTTTTTAATTAAAGCAAATCCATCTGGACCAGTGACCCTTTTCTGACACTGAGTCATTAAAATAGCATGTTTCTGTTGACAAATATTTTGTGCATGAAATATTGCTTTATATTTCTGTTGGTGATGGCTGTTATGAAGTTAATTAAAGTGTTTAAAAAACTTAATACATTTCATCTTTATGTATTCCAAATATTAAATTGATCAGTTTTGAAACTCTCTATCTGGAAATTCCTTGTTTTAGGGAGAAAAACGTAGCTTCTCGGCTTTAACATAGCTTGCTGATTTTTTGCTGTGTAATACTTTCACCAGTGAATCAGTTCTGTGAAAGCCAGAGGAAGAAGACTTAGAGTTTTTGAAAGGTAATAGAGCCTTGCTAAAAGTGATTCTAAAAATAAAGCTCAGTAGATGCATGAAAAATACTGCTGTATTAATTTTAAGCATGTTTTTAATTGATCACGTTGTCTTTACCTCCAAAGTAGTAGAGCTTAAAATGTACAGTACTTGAATTTTTAAAACTCTGCACTGCACATGCACCAGTTCAGCCATCTAACAGTTACCGCATATTTCATTACAAGCTCACTAACACCTGACTTAGCAAGAGACATCAGTCTTGTATTAGATATTGTTAAATAAAGTGAGATTTGTGAAGCTGCAGCAGATCAAGGATCTAACATCCTTGGATTAAATATATGAAAAGAGTTAGACCCAGGAATATAAAGGGAAAAAGTCCCATCTAATAATTAAGCATCATTGTCCCAGGCCTAGGTGTTTTTTATACAACCTTGGCAATTCTGAAAAGCAGTATTTTTTCTCAATCCTCTGAAAAGCAGTATTTTTTTTCTCAGTCCTCTGAAAATCCCATCATCAGAGCTTGCTCTTCTCCCTTGCATTGCCAAGCCTTATATATTTTAGGGTATAAATTTATAAAATGCAGAGACACAATAATTTATGTGTTCTAGATTTTATCTCTGTAATTTAAATATAGAGAGGATCTTTCTGTTTATAAAATTCCATGCCCCATTTTGTAAAATGAGTGTATCTTAATATGTCATCTGCTAACTTTAGAAGAAGTGTGATGGTGAGGTATGGGTTCTAGCTAGGTATTTTGCTTGAATTTCCTCTTTTTTTTTTGGTTTTTCTCCGGTACTGGGAACCGAACTCAGTACCTTGCGCTTGCCAGGCAGGCACTTTGCCACTGAGCTAAATCCCCAGCCCCTTGAATTTCCTCTTTAAAGAAGATTTTTAAAGTCCCTTTGTATGAAAGCAATAAAATAATAATAACACTAATAACAGTAATAGATGAAGGAAGTCTAATTGGGTCTGATATTGATTTCTGTCCCTTTCCCTGCTTGTCTCTCTCTCCTGGATGACTGAAATGAAAGTCATTATGAAGCTGAAGATCAAGATATGATTCATGGTGTGCCTGTGGGAGGTGGCAACTTGTAACTGGGCCTATTGAGGCCAAAACACTATTGTTAATGGTACCCTGAACCCCAAAGCCATCATCATCATTACCACCATCGGAATTTTCATGTGAACAATGCTTTATAGCAAAGTCAGAAAACAAAAAGAAGACCAAACCATGTTATTGTCTTCTGGCCTGAATACTGGGAAGAGATAGAGTAGGGCACAAATTATTATTTTCATTTTACAGTTGATTAAATTAAGAGATTTCTCCAAAATCATATGTCTGATAAGTGATAGAGTTGGGACCAGAATTCACATCTTCTGAAACAAGTGCTAGCATTATAAAATTCCTGTAGTAGGGGATTAAATATAGCCTCAATCAGCATGAAAAAATTAAGAGGAGGCTTGTAATAGCAACATCAATAGCAATAATTAAATCAATAACTTAATTAAGTTGTTATTATATGATGGGTGCTATGCCAAGACTTTGCTGAACTATCTCCTTTAACTATTATGACAAGTTTTTGAGTTGACAGCATTACCATGCTGTTATATAGAAAAAAAATCTCTGTGCAGGGGCACAGAGAGATTAAGCACACGCACAGCTGGAGGGAGAGTCATAGAGTTAAGAAAAAGAATCTAGGAGTCTAACTTAGGAGAGTGGTCCTCACGGCTGTCATCAGAAGCCATGCTGCCCATTTTAGACAAAATCTCATTTAGAAGCTCCTCGTTTAACTATTAGGTCATGCGAAAAAGACCCAAAGCATACTAGTATGCATGCTTTTGCTGTTTTTTTTTTCTATTTATGTAAAAAACCAAACCGTTTAAAAATCTCAGGTGACCTTTTTTTTTCCCCTTGGATTGTGACTT